CTCCTAATATTCTGTGATTCTGTGTGATTTTAATAGATTCCCGGCAGATGCTATCTAGTTCCACTTTTCCAACAGCAGAATAAACTAGAATTAAAATTATGATGATTAAAAAATTATTGATAGTGATATTAATTAAAGTATTGATATGTGCTTTCTTCACAGCTCTCCCAGTCCAATAGTCTAACTATTGTTACATTACTGCATACAGCAAAATTAAATGAGAAAGACTTCAAAACCCTTATTCAGCAATACTTTTCCTAAATGCTGACGCTTTCAAAATAACAATGCTAAATCCCATCTGGCATTCAGGAAGTCATGTCATTCTGAAATCTCTTCATCTAGAAGAACATCTCTTCAAATCTAGATAGGCAAATTAAAATTTGAAATAGCACAGCTAAAGTGCAAAACTGATCTGTTATTTTAAAGAAGATCAGTACCCTCATGGCGGACACTGGAGGTCTAATAGAATGGTTCTGCTGGAGCATCAATCACTGCTAAGCCACAGTTCAGTAACTAAAACTTTTTGAAAATTTAAGTAGCTCTTCAAACTTAGATTCAGCTGTCACTAAGCACAGAGCGTGCTCTCAGCCTTCTAACATTGTCACTGATGTTCAATAATGACATGGAGTAGAGCAGAGAAACTTCATTTGCTGTGAATAAAAATGCCTGGCCACCTAGCCCTCCATCTGGACAGGTTTTCTCAGGGGCAAAAAGTACCCTGTTCTGTGTGCTCTTCTCCTGCAGGAGAACAAAACGTTCAAAACCCAAAATACATTTGCACAGGTACATTCACAGAAATGAAACTTAACAGTCTCCAAATTTCATCACTTGACCGAACACTTACCCCAATTTCCTTAAAGACTTTCACTGCGTTTTTCACATGACTGTAGGTAGCACTCTCAGCTGAAAGAAAGAAAACCCACAGATAAACAAACTGCAATTGAATTTGAGCCTCCTAGGCACAGAATGAACCAAATCCAGTTCCAAAACCAGTTTAACATACCATAGACAGCAACATTCTTCTCTGTCCTGCTTATTAAGTGCCTGTGTAACTTTTGAACGTATTCAGACTCTGAAACAGGACCACTAAAATTGTGCACGAAGATGACAGCAGAGCTATACGCCTCCAGTAACGGTCCCAACAACCTCTGCAGGAAGGTGATGTACTGCTGGTGCTCTTGAGACTGGCTCACCTAAGGAAGGGCAAGGAGAGCTTAAGTGACACAGAGCAGCAGAAACAAGAAATAACCCACAATGCAGTACACAGCAAAGAGCGCAAATAACTTCTAGTACAAAAAGGAGTACAGAGGCAGAACCTAGCACATTACGAAAGCATCGCAAAAGAGCAGTTTACCACAAGGGACAAAACAGGCACTGCACATCACAGATCAATAATATTTTTCTCTCCTCCAGTATATTAGTAACTATGTTCCTAAGATAAATTAAAGGCATCAGATTGTTCTGCAGCCAACAGAAGGCTTGTCATACACTCACACAGATGGACCTAAGTTTCCAAGCATCAACAAGATACTGAAAGAGTGCTTGTGTCAGCTCTATGAGAAAACTGGTAATGTCTAAAATCAACATTATGAATCTATGAAATGAAAATTAGGCTGAAAGTAAAAATCAGCCAGATGTGCCTCTTTTAGAGAGTGTGCTGTCAGTAGAGGAAAAAAACATTTAGACACTTGAGCCTTTATCAGTTTTCATGACATTAACCATTGCGCTTCCATCTCCCTACAAGATTATCTGATGTTTCTTCAGTTGTTTTCCCCATGGGAAGGAGAGAAAAGGTTTTACTGACTGCAGCAAAATACAACGAATTAGCACTGCAAACCAGCAAAAAAAAAAAAAAATCATTACCCCTCCCAAACTAGAGAAGTAGTTTGTCTTTCTTGCAACAAGCTTCAGTATTATCAGCCTTAGGATAACATTACCTTCAGGTAGCAATCTCTCTGCTCTTCTCCAAAATCACTGTCTTCATCTTCTTCGTCACTTCTCCAAGACAATGGCTCAGGGAGCTTTTTATTCCACTGTTGCTCTGTAAGACTGGGGCTAACATCCTCCTGATCATCCTGCTTAAATTTGAAAGACAAGGTGGTAAATAGGCAAAAAGCCCAAATCCAGGCAAACAACAGGTTTAGTTTATAATCTCATCAGACTTAATCAGTCCATTCATTAACCAATATTTAATGAAAGCAGAGGTGAGACCAAATTATAGACAGGGTTGAGAAAAGCAGAGAGAAGAGACATTGGTGAAAAAAGACTGTATTTCTTCAACTTGCATGTCACATAAAAGTGAAAATCTTTGCAAGTGTTGCTGAATGTTCCTACCAGATGCCATGCAGTAGCAGTTGGCAAAAAAGTGTTTTCAGTTGTGTTAGGATAAAAAGTTGAGATGCTACCTGAATGTGGATGTTACTATCCTCCTTACTGTTGCCTTGAAGGCCGAGTAGTAAACTCTGTGTTATAATATTACAATAGCTAAAATCTCAATAAATGCAGAAGGCCAGAAGTTGCTATTTGGAAGTGGTAACTTACTGCTTTTAATGATGCTGTTCTTGTACTTGTCCCCTGTGAGACATTGGTTAGAACAGAATGAACCAATTTTAATCACAATGGCCTCAAACTGTTTAAACCTTAATGACATTGAGATATTAAGACCACTCCACCTGTTACACCGCAGCAATTCCCTTCTGCCAATCACCCTGAGAAGTACCATCCAAATTTAGCCTACAAATGCCCCATCGTAATCCACCCTCAGAGCAAGACACAGATTCACACTTAAACTTATTAGCAAGTAGCTATGTTAGGTAAGTATACATTTCTTGGGGCTTTTGAGGCGTGTGTGTGACAGCAAGAAGACCATTGGTGGAATTACTTAAGCTGAATATTGTGAGGGAAAAGGAGTTCATTGTTTGCTTTTCATCTAGTTAGTAAAATCATCTATTTTAGTAAAATCATGAATTAGTAAAGTGCTTTGTAAAGTTGTAAAATGTTGTGAAGTTCCCTCGCAAGGGAATAGTGAGGTAATCTGCCAGAGACAGAAGGCACAAGTGACAAATACAAACATACTAGAGGTACGTGAACAGTGATTTCCTTCTGTTGTGAAGTAGTGCAGGTATGTCAGAAGTTCAGGTGTACAATAGCTGACATACAACAGAAACGCTCCACCTGACTGATCAATGTCTGATGCAACATTCAATTTCAACAATTCAATTTCAACATCTTAGAAATGTTTTTTAGAGACAGTAAACACACACTTGAAAGAGTAAGGGGAGCCTTAGTGGCAATCATTTGCTATTACCTGTTTTGCTCAAAGTAGTAGAACAGAAAGATTTTCCAAAGGTCACCAGAGCTAACTTCCTGAGGAAAGACCCCCATGTAGTTATTCCATGTAGAAATGTGAATCAAGCAAGATTAAAACCAAACAAATAACAGACACCTCGTGGATGTGATTACTGTCATAATATTCCCGACAAAGAAAAAGGCCTCTGCAGCAAGTGTATAATGGCATCCTTCCAATCTTACACTCTGATCAAATGTTTTATTTTGAATGAAGCAAAGGCCACTAAATAAATTGAAAAACATACCAAAGACGTCACTATGTGTTAGGAATATTTCTTAGTTTCTGAAGTAAACACTAGAATCACAGAGCAAGAATTTTTTTAAAAGCATGGATCAATCAAGCTCAGTTTAATGTGAAATTTATCCATGTGTTAATGTCAGCAGTAAAATGTATTAATTAGAAGGGGCAGAACCTAGCTACCTTTCTCAAAGAGGAGGTTGTGAAAACCCCACAAACATTTCCGAAGTGTCTGAAGCCAAGAAACAACTGTTGCTTATAGTGTTTGCACGGATTATGCAAATTCTTAATATTTTAAAAGTAAGCAGGTATAGAGTTTAAAGAAATTTACTGACAATAATCTCCTTCTAAGCATTCAAACGCTGTACTGGTGGTGTGTATCAGACAACATAGACAAATATCTACAGCCTAATAGCCATCTATATCCTACCTATAAACAGCGAAGTACCAGACTCAGCAACTGAAACTTATAGAAGAACCTCCAATATAGGTTTCACGCTTAAGTAGGCAGAGGTGCCTATCTACTGCTGCCCACACCTACGATCCTTATCTGTCCCCAGGCTGGGAACACACAGTTTTCTTGCTAATCCTCTGATTAGCATTCATTTTTTGATTTATTTAATCATTATTACAATCTAATGCATGACAACATGTCAGTACTTCAGATAAAGAGCAAACAGTAGTAATTTCAGAGAAGAATGTTTAATATCCAGGTATATTAAATAAATAGCACCTATGTACACATACATCAAAAAGTATGCAGAAAGATGAGTGAAGCAGTGGCCATTAACAAATGCACCAGAAGCAGCTCTGGCCTCCTTTAAAACTGGAATGCTGCAAGACAAAAGCAGCCAAATATGTAACCGGCCAAATACGTAACTGTTTAAATTTTGTTGCTTCCTCCTGGATACCAAGGTTTGTTTGCTGCGCACAAAAAACATTTGGGCATGCTGAGTCAGCTGCCCCCTGGTCCCCAGGTTTTCTTTACACTGTGCTCCTCTGGCTGATTGCACCACCAGTACAACCCTGAAATGGCAAAGTGTGCTAGCAGAGGAGGTTGACAGTAATTTTGAGATTGATGCAAAGGAATCAAAGAATGACAAAAGATCTGAACTACTGACTCCTTTACAGTTGAAAGTAAACATCCATGTAGCTATGCTACAATCTGAAAAGGCTCCCATAATAAAATAAATCCCCATTTTACAATACAGTACAAGAGATTTCTCTTCCTTAGTAGCTTTAATGGTACAATGAAATTACACACAGACTCATTCATAGCAGCGCAGGATGACTGTACCCAAAGGTCTGATGCTTACAAATGTAAGAATGAAGGAGTATCAGTCCTGGACTCGTTGTTACAAGCTTTCAGTGATGGCATACATTTAGGACAAGAGTCACGACAAGACAGTACAAACTACCTATGGCTGAAGTACAAGTAACAAAGCTCATTCAGTGTCTCTCCCACCTTACCTCGGCCACCAGAAGAATGCCGTATTGTATCAGCCTTTCCACAGATTCATGGCAAACTTGATATATCACCTGGCAAGGCTGCATAACATAAAAGAAATGTAATGAAAAAATCACCTCCATTATAGCCATTATAGCAACACCAGTTCCCTGTCATAAGAATGTTTTAGATGCAGCAGTATTATTCCTTTTAAGCAATTTATTAAACTTTTACTAGAATAATACCAATGCACCATTCTTATGTTTATCCTGGCAGAAATTAAAAAAAATACACTGAAATAGGGTATTTAAAATGTGTTCAATTTCTTTAAAAGCAATGTATTACTACACTGGTAGAAATCCACATTAAATATTCTCCCTTTATAATCACCTCTAACCAGATTTTAGTTTTTTAACAATCCTATAATAAAGCCATCATAAAACTAAAATAATTGAGACTCATACCAGTTATTTATTTGGAATCCAAAGGAAAGTACACTTTTAAGAAACTCCTTTTTGTGTTTTGAAACTCTGAATAAAAAAGCAACCTCTTTTACACAGCTCATAATCATGCAGGAAATATTTTGTAAGTTAAAAAAAACCAACAGTCAATTATTAACTCTGAATGCAGAAGGGTAAGATTACTAAAGAACCCCACCACATGAGCTACATTACTGCCCAGACAAAAGTACTAAATTTGGCTTACGCTTTATATAAAAAGGCATGAGTCAGAAACACATGTGTAAATTTGAGAACTAATTCAAGAATCTCTAGAATTCTAAGTAACTTCTACATAGAAGAAAAAAAATACCTAGCACTTAAAATTGCAAGTATACAGAGTGTAAGTATACAGAGTGTCTGAAAACTGAGATAACATCAGCTCCCTTCAGCTGAAACAAAACCAAAGTCAGGCCACGTTTAAAATTGCCACTAGGTGTGGCACACCATGACTACTGCACTCCTACGCAAATTAAGAACATCTTTAGAATCTGAAGCCTCAGTTCTCAGCATAATTTCAATCACATATGAGAAGAAAACTCATATATGAGTTGGGTACTCTCAAAGACTTGTATTTGTTGAAGTAAAAAAATATATTTCAATAGTTTGGGCAGAATGTAGATACAGTTGTGATGGTCTATTCACATAAGCGGCACAAAATCTGCTAGAAGACATGAAAAAGCACTATCTCAAGTTGTGGGAACCTGACAGAGGCAGAGTGAGCAGCTTTTCTTTCTCTAAAGCCAGCACAGCAGAAACGCTGCAGGCTCACCTCAGCATCCCCCGCTTTGGCACCTGCATGAGTAGCAGGCGTGCACTCAGTACCTACCCCTGAAACCGGATCGACCGATTTTGTCACACCTTGCCAAGGAAACAAGGCAGTGACAGGAGTCTGACAAGTTAATTCATGTGTTATCTTAGGCTAGACATCTACGTTTGGCTAGAACTACATTTGTTCAAATGTTCAGACGTTTCCTTGAAGTGAATGGGAACAATATTATCTTCCTTTTTCAAATTATATTAAACCTCTTGATACTCATTACTGCCAGACTGTACTTACAGTGAACATATTGGAACTGCGACACTCAAAGAAAGCTAAAATTGATTTCAAAGTAACACACACAGTTACAAGCGGAACAAAAAATTGAAACATGGCCAACTAATGCATTTACTTACCAAAGATACAGTAAATTCATTAGAAAGCAAGTAACACAAGCTGGCAGCTTTTCGGACCAGATGTTCTTGACTAATTAAACTGGGAGAAGCACCATTGGTACCATTTCTGTATCTCCTGCTCTGAACCGCATGAAGACTGCAGGCTAGAGCAGAAACAAACATAAGCAAAGTTTATTTTTCCAAACAGCTTTATAGAAAAGGAAATATAAAACTTTTATCTAATTCTAGGCTTAAAAGCAGTCAAACATTATATACACAATTAAAGAATAAAGACAGAATTCACCACTATTCCGTTTGTGTCCAATTAATTTTAGATTGAAACAAAATCTCATTAAAATTATTAGTGACCAAAGGACAGCTTTTGCCATGCTGGCTCAAAATTCTGATAGTGCTTGGACTATAGCAGTGACCAATAACCAAATACTTCCAAGAAAGATAAAGGATGATGGGAAAAATGAATGGAAACATTTCACAAACAAAAACTAAGTTTACTTTTGGGGGCTGAAAAGAAACAGGTTTGTGGACTTGTAAAGATACTTTGACTTCATGGGTCACAAAAAAGTCTTTCCTTGGTAAACCCTCACACACACCAATAATGGCCTCTTTGATGAATACGTGAAGAACTCCATTGCTGTAGAAGTTGAGTTCAAAGACTGCAGGTATTGTTGTGCTGGGAGTGATGAAGAACTCATTGTTTCTGCTTGTGTTTGTGATATTTACACAGTTCCCCAACAAGTGGATGGCGTGCATGACAACATCATCCGAGTTCCCTGAAAATCCCAAGTCAAAGTCACGGGCTAAGACCTCCTCCTTCATGGAAAAGAAATCTTCTACCAACCTGGAAAGATCAGTTCCCTAGAAGTAAGATCAGAATCACAAAATGAAACTATTTTTTTGCACTGGGAGTTCATCTGTACTCCACATAACCACGTATATAGCAAACACATAAACAAGCCATTAATTTTAAAAATCCAAAGCACAACAATAGTATTTGAAAACCATGTTTTTAGAGAGATATTGCTAAAATGGTCCACAGGTTTTGAACTCTATGCAACTACAGTTTAAAGCCATGAAGCTACTTGAGAATCCAAGCTTTTCGTTTGCTTCGGTTTTTTTCAACCTGGAGAGACCCAAGTTGTTCTTTAAGAACATGTCAGAGATATCATATTTCCATTACCTATGATCTATTATCCGGGACTACTGTAATTAGCAGAACTTCTCTTCAATTGTTTAGGGACATGAGGAAAAGCTTTTCCTCAAACACTTCCTTTCCTTGCTTTTTGTCAAGGTGGCTTCAGATCACATTGTAAAATGCTTCTTTGATTCCATTATTTCAGGAAATTGGAAAGACTGGACTGACAGGAATAGTAATACTGTCCTCGACTAGGAAGACTGCATATCCGACCAACATTTCTGAATTTGCTCTTGATTTACATGCAAGAGAAGTTTAAGATCAGAGGCAGAAGGAATTTCATAAAAATGCTAAACACACTTGCAGAAGAAAAAAAAATTCTTCCACACCTCATTCACAAGACTTTTGTTAAACATTAGTCTCATTTTGCCATCATGGTATAACATTCTAGTGCCAAGGAACAGCAAAACTCATTTGAAAACTAACAGAAGAGTTGCTAGTATATTCAATAGCGAATATGTTTAAGATGTAAAAAACAATCTTATTACAATGAACCAAAATAATGTACTCTTTTTTTAAAAGTGTAACTACATTTTGAATTACAAAAATTTATTTCCACGTGAGTGTTTACTATCATCCCATCAATAACAGCTTATCTTCAAACATCCACTACTAACTAAAATAGTAGCACTCAGACTACCTGAAATGCACTTAAATTTAAATGCATCTTTCTTCCTTTATCAGTATCATGCAATAGTGAAGCACATACTATTTTTTGAATTAGCAAAGCCACAGGAACGCTTGGCTGTTTAAGCAGCGTGGAAGCCTTACCTGCCTGTGTCTGTACAGCAGCAAACAGGCAACAAGGTGGGTAGACATCACAGCACAGGACTTGTTAGCAGCTAGAGGTGAACAAGACAAACTCGTTAACCACTTGAGAAGTTCAGAACATCACTACAAGTGAAAGAGTACCCATTACTTAAAAAAAACCACCTTATATTGGCACAGGACTGTACCTTCTGCATTAAATACAAAGTGTATTATGTCTATATAGTAACGGTATTCAAGTAATCAAACTAAAGTAACTTGAACTAAGAAGACTGACCAAAGCTTACATGTTTACTAAGCCAAGTACTGTTCTGTATGCATCTCTCATGCCATGAATCATACATCTGCTGACTGCAGCATGCACCACATAACCCATACACCTGGCAACACTGGTCCATGCAACTAGGTGAGTTCACATGAGTACTATCTTAAAAAATGCCATTAAGACACTGCAATAACTTCTTCCATGAAGCAGTAAGAAATCAGTGTATCGATGTGACAAACACTTCAGAGTACACGAAGTACAATACACTAGTCCAAGGAATACAAAACAAACCTACCTAAACAAACAGAATAAAAACAGCTTCTACTTAATCCAAAAGAGAATTTATTGAACTTTGAAAAGGAGGGAGAGAGAAGCAAAGGATGGAGGACCGTCAAGAGTTCATTTGTCACGAAATGATCACCTGAATGGAGGTAACTGGGACGTATGACACTGCCAAACAATAGGTTAGTTCATGCCATCAGCAAAACAAAACAGGTAAATGGTAGCGATACTATAACACTTACTGAACAAAATATGCTCAGCCAAGTTGGATATCAGCTCTCTTCTGAAGGGCTCACTGGTGATATCCCTGGAGTTGGGCATTGAAGCCTCTGTACCTTCATCCACAGTATCATTAGGTCTGAATACAGAATAAAAATTCACATTATGATATTTGGATTTTGATCAAAATATAAGTAACTTAAACTGATACACAAACTGAACCACAGCACAATAATGGCCCTAAAATGTTCACAAAAAATTTAATATCTACCAAATTTTTCAGATTTCTTCCCACTAAACAACAATCCAAGATAAGACTACCAAAATGAAACTAATTGCAACCTCGTCCTATGGCTACTACTGACTTTGCCCTTACATCATTTGCACCACACAGATCTTTTCCCTTCAATGAATATGGACAATCAGTAGATTTATGCAAGTCTGCTAAAAGACAATTTCCAGCCCAGCCTGTGCTCAAATTAGAAATGGTCTTTTTGTATGGACCTACAACCGTTTCAAGGTAAATGAAGACTTTGTCTCTACTAGGACCACACAGGTTTGTCCAAACCAAGCTAAGACCTCAACTAAAATATGTATCTGCGTAACAAATGCAGATCTAGCCCTTGAGCACAGATTTGCATTTCTGAGCGACAGTAAAGTCTTTGAGCAAGGGGTACTCACTCACAAGTCCTGTTTGCCTTGGAATCATACCAAAACTCACCTGAAATGTTTGTGAGGTTTAAAATCAAATCCCTCATTTTTCATTAAGTGTGTCATTATTTCCCTAAGTTATTCCATAAAATTTAAAACTAAACCAACAGAGGTCACCAAAATTTAAATTAAACAAAAGTCTCTTTGAGCTTATTTAAACAGAGCTCCCCAGAAAGAATGCAACTCTTATAATAAATTGCACAGTTACAATTGTGTACGTTTTTTATTCTTCTATACACAAAAAAACCCCAACCTGTCCTCCCTCTTCCCAAAACCCAAACAATCTTTACCTTGTCAGAAGTATAGCTGGTAACAAAGCTTGTTCCAAAGAAAGAGGAGCAGGCACAGGTTTTTGGCTTTGGCTGTTTACATATTCCTGTTAAGAGAAGACTCATTATTTTTGTACTTTTTACACCTCATTCTTGGATTCAACTGATAATATATTATTATATAAAAAAGCAATTCTTCAAAAACGCAACTATGATTCAAAATAGCTCACACAAAAAGAGCAACAATAGGGTCACAGAAATGAAAAGCCTGCAACATTTTATTCCCTTTTGATTTTATTTTATGAAAAGGCAAACTTTCCACAGCAAGGAATCCTTACTTCATACAAAATGTTACAACAAAAACAATGCATAACTCTTGTCAGCACCCTGCTGGGAACAACTCCTTTGAGACTAGCTTCTGCATGATTAAATTAATGAGAACTGCCTGCATTAACATGAATGAGAGCAAAGTCTCATACTCTTTCAAAACCAACATGGAGACTGTAATTATTGCTTGCTGCTGCTGCTTTCCTCAAATGTCAGGATAGGGAACTTCTCCATAGGTAAATATCAGTATAAAAATTCCAGTTGCAAAACCCCTCACAGTGCCACAAACCAAAGTTCCCAGAAAGCAGGAAGGGTACCACATGCTTGAATCCCAAATTTCTCAAAAGGCAAACACCTCTCCTTACAGGTTAGCATTTACATTACTCTGTTTTCAGGACACCGTGTTCCTTCTGTTTCTATAAAGACTGATGTGGGAAACTAAAGAGCCACTTAACCTGCTGGTCAGGAAAACAGCTCCCTCTCAGAAAAGCTGCTTAAAAGACTTTCACAGCCAGCTCACTCTCTTCTGCTTCTAAGCCTGTGCTAACTGAACTGCAGATGCCCAAAATTAACCCCGAAAGCTCATCTCCTTTAGAAAAAGTGACATAACAACATCAATCTAAAAATACAGTTACGCATTTGCAAATCTTGGTTACGGCATACTTAAGCCATTTATGTCGTGCTTTTACCTTTCTGGAGTAAAAAAAAATGAATGCACATACATAAGAGACCTGGCAGAGGTTGCTAAGAAGGTATAGAGTGATTGGCATCTTATTAGATTAAGAGGGCAGATAACCTTCTTTTCCTTATACTGATACAAGAACAATTGTTAACTCCCTGCCAAGAATAGCCTGGAAGTGACCCAAGCCTTCTCCTTTGGAAGTGAATTAATATCTTTCTCTACTACGCTGACTATAATGCAGTGCAGATGGTCACAATAATTTCACGCTGTGGTAACTGAACCCTCAAAGCTCTCCAACCTATTGCTTTTCTGAGAGAAGTAGGGGAGAAAGAAGAACACCTAATTAATTTGAATAATGTTCTAGTAGGTTGCTGTTACAGTAGTTAATCTTATTAAAGTCACACTAAAAATAAGGTATACTGTAGCAGGACACAGATTAGTGAAATGCAGATAAATTAAATAGCGGAATACTAGCAGATTCTGCAGAGATCAGAGAAAATTTTAAAAGTGAGGGCAGCTAATACTGCACCATCCCATTCCCAGAAACTACACAACAGCATTTGGTGAGCTAGCATAGGTAATAATTGTAAACTAAGAATAAACTATGACATTCAAAGAATATGCAGATTTTTATGATATATGATCCATGAAACTTTCATAGCTACTAACTTGCTTAGCAGTTTTAAAAATCCAGTGTGAGATAATGCCCTTCTTCAACAACAGTGTAAACCATTCAGTTACTCAAACTGGAGAACAGTATTCAGTTTCCTTCAACTCCAAACTTCTCAACAACTTATATGTACTACAAGGATCATTTTAAAGATTGTTTGTTGTAACAAAAGAACTCCAGTGAGAATACTTACATGACTTCAAACCTAACACAACCTTTTACAGCAACTCTGAGACTGTTTCAGCTTAACACAAACGTGTCTGAACACTCATGCCTTCAGCAAAACAGGGATACTGTTGTCCCACTGGAATGGATTTCAGCAGGCAATGCTAGCGATGATAACCCACAAAGAGATTAAATAAATGCGTTCCACTACTGAAACACCAAAAAGGGTCTTCAAAATACTAAACTTACTTTTAAGGAAAATGGTTGTGCAAAATCTACTCTGACACATCCATAATTCTTCCGCAGCATTCTGAAGACGCCTCTAGCTATACTCCAAAGGCTTTCATTCTTCTTAGGCTTGCCCTGGAAAACATCGGTGGTTGTTTTGGGTTTTGTCCAATTTGCAATTAAAAGGTTACGTTTAAAATTAAAATCCATGCAACAGCAGACAAAACAAGGACAAATCTTTTGACACACCTTACAACTTCAAGTAAATATAGAGAAAGATTGTTTTCCATATATATCCACTTGAATGTATTATTTGTTATGTCATGAATTTGCACTTAGAAGTACGTCACCCATACCTCAGCACTCCCTATCAGAGGCTTTGTGATTCATGGCTCTATGCTTTTCAACACTAACACCAAGTAACAGAGGATTACTAGCACATCATTTAACTATGTCACACATTTTCCCACACATAAACAGAAAATCCCCTAGGCAAAACAAGTTGTTCAATTGCTCTTACCAGCTGTTCACTGTTATAGTGACCTTCAATTATGCGATCATAGGAGATTCCTACAGGTATAATTAGGACATCAGGAGTAGCATTTGAGAAGAGAGCATCCACCACCACAGATAAAAGACCTGCTCTAGCTCCAGATGTCTTTCCACTTCGAGACCGTGTGCCTTCCAAGAATATTTCTAAAAACTGCTGCTGTCTCAACAGTTCTTCTATGTGCTGAACACAAAAAGATCGGAAAACATGAAAAAAAGATCTAATTATACTAGCAAATTCACATTTGAAATATATTGTCAGCAACTATTTCCTTTTAAAACACTGGAAGATCATGAGTTAGCATATATAATTGTGGAAAAAAAAAACCCAAAACAATAACTGACACAAACCCAGACCAAACTGGAATTCAATTTGCATGAATATACAAGCAGTACAAATGTCATTTGTTCGATAACAGCATCTCTAGCAACAGTTGATAAAGCCAATTTGCATAAGTCTCTTCTGGTTTCTCAGTACATACCATCTTCCCAGATGCAAATTCAGCTATTATACTGAATGGCACAAAGGGTTACATCAACCCATCAAAAACAGAGACTTCCGTTAACAGAACGAGTGTAGATATGCCCCAGTACAAATCAGAGAAACAAGGCTTAAGTTTAACATGAATTCAGAGAGCACTAATTCCACTTTATTTAATAAGGATTAGTCAAGGTAAAAATCTTCTTATCCTCAAAGATGCTGGGCATTCAAATCTCTTTTACTTAGACATTCAAGACCTGATACAAAAATGGATTTCATGTGGCAAAAACAGGATAAAAGACAAATTCAGTAAAAAAACATCCCCAGACTGATGGAACTCACTTTCCCAGTTGACCAAAATGGTATCTTCGGAAACAAAGACAAGAAATACATACCACATAGAGCAAAGCTCTGTAGAGGAAGTCCTTACGACCATCAGGACTCTGATCTAACTTTCGACGAATGAAAAATCCTCCTAATTTGCGGATCAGTGTACTACATAATAAAGAAGAATTACAGTCATTGATATTAGTTACCAGGAAACATGTAGAGTACAAAATTCCATGCAACAGGAACTTAAATTACTGAAATTCTCAAAGACTAAAATGTATTACACTATTTGCACGTGATGGGACCACACAAATACTACTCTATTTAACTTAAAAAACCAGGCTTCTCTACACGGTCTCGCTTCATTTCACTTCCTTGACACACCACGTACCCTCTGCAGTGACCCCAGCCAGGAGACTATTGTACATTGAGATGCTGATGACCCACACAGCAGTTAACCTGAGCTGGCCCAAGTCTGTGCTGTGCTGCACATACAGCATGACCTTCGTGTCCGTGTTGTGCTGCACATACCCTTTGGCTGCAGGATCGGCTCAGACAGCTAATTTTAGCACAGGAGCCTGCAGGCAGCTCCCACTTAGCACCAGCAATTATGCCACCTGCATGGCCTTGCCTTTATCTAACAGCACAGCAAGACATTCTCATGAGAACATCCTTTCTGCTTGACAGAAAAAATGCTCTCTTGTAAAAAAATCCTATACTAGCTCAAATGACCAAAATTGGGTAATTCTTTCTGTATGCTGCACAGGCATCAGAGGCCCACTGGATGCTGCACAACTCAGGGTTCCCAGCATTTAAAGGGATGTTGGATTACCTATGCTAGTCTCTCTTTCTTTATACTGCTAGTCCTAATAAAGAGCACTTTACCTGATACTTTATAGAGTCTGAATGCCTTTCTTACTGGGATCATCACAGACCAGCACATGCTGGTGCAAATACCCTCTAAGTCAAAGTATCCCCCTTCTTTCCTCATCATTTCCTGCAATATCCAGTGGCTTTTCAGAAATCAGTTATCCCCAAATTCTGTCCCAATGGCAAAATACTACCTAAACGAACTTCGTACATTCTCCAGCCATCAAAACTACAATTTAAACAGAGACTTAAGTGGAGTACTTTCCCACAAAGTATTATTTGCTCAGTACTGTCACTGTCTATTAGCCAGCTCATTAACCTTCATGAAGAAGAGCTGACCACACCACTTTTTCACATACTTATCTTTACTTAATAACCCATCCACTAAGAAATATCCTTCCTACCCTACTCAGGTTATGACAGAATTTCTCAGAAGATGCTCTCTCTCTCTCTGAGCATGTCACAGGAACCAAAGATCTACATGATGGCCCAATCATACTCAGATTATCTGACACTTAGACATAAAATTTATTGGACAATAGGTCACCTGAAGATCCACCCACGGTTGTTACCTGAAGATGGGGATGTTGAGATTGTTCCCTGCAGCAATGTAGGGTGCTTTGATGTTATGGCAGAAGAGGATGAATGTAAGGAGCAGGTAGTCAATGTGGGATTTGTGAACAGGCAAGAAGATAAGAGGCAAATTCATCTATGGTGGGGAGGGAAGGAAAAAAAGAGAGAAGACAGTAAGAAATGTGGATTACTCCTTTTCTACAGTTCATCATTGAGATTGCTAGCATCATATTATCAGAACTGATGGTATTTTCTGGTTACCATCATTCAGTTTGTTTACTTCTGGTTTTCACTCAGCTGTGACAATGAGAACATTTTAGTCAACTGTACTTAATTTTCATGGGCTGTAATTCTTAGTTGTATGCTTTACAATAAACAATGATTAATATTCCCAGCTTCTTCCGACTCACAGTTATCAAGACAAGAATAAAACAATTAAAGGTACATGGCCAAATCATCAGTGTCACCAAAGTACTGCTATTTCTTTCTATTAGATATCAGCAAGGATCTACAAATACTGAGGGTCCAAAGCACTGTAATCAAAAGACAACAGAAAATAAGACTAATTTTTAAATTACTATTTTATTTATCTAATCCATCTTTCTAAGGTAAACCCTCTAAAAAGAATCAATTTATTTGAGTGTAAAGAAAATTGCAGAATTTAGGAATTATTTTGAACAATTTTAATAAATATTGAGGGACTGGGAACAGATTGCTAGTAAGAAATAGGAAAAGTTTATTTCTTAAAGATTTTTTATTCGAAATTAAGGTAAGAGTGAGAAATCCTAAACAGACCTACTAATTGTTTACTGGCTGCCTCAGCACAAAAAAACAAGGAATAACGCTGGATGCAGGTTATCTGAGATGATCATTCAACCTGATAGCTAAAATTTGATCCTGAAAGAAAGGCAAAACCACAGTTGTCATAGTATTTTACGTCACACAACTCAAAGAGCATTACATTTAATTAAAAACACTATTTCACAGATATGGGACAGAACTATCTACAATCTGATACCATACAGACTTCACAGAACACTCTTAAAAAGAGAAAGTGTTGTAAACATTAATAGAAACTGGATCAGAAATCCATCTTAATAGATTCTTTCCCACCCTCCCTTACCTCTGTGGCTGCTTTGACCATTTCTATTTGACCTCTGTGGATCTGAATATTCCAGAAAAAGCTGTTAAACAACTTCAGTAGTACCCAGCCAGTCAACCTGAAGGAAAAACAAACACAACTCAAAGAGCTACATTCATTGCTGCCTCCTTTTATATTGCCTCTACCTGAATAAAGGCAAAGCCATAAAATCTGATTACTTTATATTCCAAAAAAAGTACTATGAAATAAAATAAATTACAAGTTTTTGCCATGGTTAGTAACCACATTTCCGCCTCCTGCAATTAAGTCATGAAACTTGTTAGTGTCAACCTCAGTGAAGACTGTTCAAAGAGCAAAGACCACTTTAGATATGGGGCAAGTTAATGGAGGTCCTATGATCAGTTACAATAACTAAGCTAGTTAGGTGACATGTTAGGTGACAGCATGTATCTGCTCCTGTGAAAGAACTTAATATATTACAAAAAATATAGGGTTTGCATCACAAAAATCAGCAAAGGGGACTAGGAACATGACAGAGACAAATTCATCCTCAGTAGGATGAGACCACAGTAGAAGATTTTAACTGAGAGAGAGTTGACTTAGATATCAGGAAGACATTCTTTACTGTGAGTGTGGAGAGACACTGGCACAGGTTGCCCAGGGAAGTTGTGGATGCCCCCTTCCTGGAGGTGTTCAAGGCCAGGTTGGACAGCGCTTTGAGCAGCTTGGTCTGGTGGGAGCTGTCCCTGCCCATGGCAGGGGGGTTGGACTGGGGGAGCTTTAAGGTCCCTTCCAACCCAAACCATTCTAAGATGAGCCTATGAAGACAAGATCCTCTCTGAGATATTCGTAACTACAGGTTATGATATTCAATGGGCTACTGGAAGAAAGATCTTGCACAGTCTAAGATGGTGTAGCTAGCTGCTCTTGCTCGTATCAGTCTGAAAAAACAAAGGATACTAATACCCACGTAAGTGTTAGCACCAAGCCTAGTTTTAGGTGGAAAAAAAAAAGAAGTCTGTATTTAATCTTATGATAAGATATGTCCCTTGAAAAGGCAGAGGGTTTCTGCTGCCTCTGAAAATGAAGAATAACTACCATTTCATTAGTTAACATTAGAAATGGGATTTTTATGAATAATGTATTATTATTTTAGAATAATTACTCATTATTTATTAATAATATGTTACAAGCTCTGCTGGAGTAACAGAGAAAGAGCTTGGCCACCCTTCTACCTATTGACAATGCTGATGAGCCATTTTTCTTACCTGATTAAAGCAGGTGACACATGTGCTACCATTTCCTGAAGAATTTTCCTAGCTTTTTTCTTCACTTTGTTGATAGCTTTAGGATCCGTCTGAGCAAAACTACCCGGAGCACTTGGTTCAGAAGCTTCATCTACAATGGCCTTCTGGACTCTAAAAATTAAAACTTATGAGACAATCTCACAACAGAAAAGTTCAAGACACAGAAAACAACTGCTAGAAATGAGCTATGTATTGCTACAGGAGTAACTTGCAGGCATAAAAGCACAGGCACTCTGGCACTCTGAAGTATTGTGTACTCCAAATGCATTAAATTTAATTCAGTAGTTTTCTAAGCTCTGACTAAATACGTGGACGATGGATGAATGCACTCAAAGTTGACCAGATAAAACAGTACGTATGCAGTTCACAAGTACTGATATTAAATGATCAAATTTTCAGAAATTGTTAATAAGGTTAAAAATGCAGAAAGAACAGCTGAAATCTCTGCTAATATTTTCTTTTTTCTACCACAGTAATTACTTACTTCATTAGACAGAATTATGCAGTTGCTATTTTGCACTTCTACAGTAGCTTCTCCCTTGAATTCTCAGTTTTACAAAGCGTAACTAAATTGCATAAGGGCTGTTTTCCCTATTTAAAACCTATCTAAGAGGGATTAAGTGGTTTAACACAACTTAACTATGGCACAACGTGATCTGCTTTGCTTTTGAAAAGCAACACTATCACCAAGATGGGACTTGAACATTAAAAATTCAGGAGAGTTGGGAATGTTAATGTGTGTGGCCTCTGACAAAAACAGACTCAAGGAATGGGCATGTGGTTCAATTTCTTTGTGGCCAGGGAAAACCAATAACTTAATAGCTAATCAGGGGCTCAGTGTGCCATTTAAAATGCAGTATATGAAACAGATAACAAGCTCCACAAAATAAAGGGTGGGTATTTCACTATATAACCTTTTTCCAGTTTTGTCTCATGCTCTCGGTGTACACGCAGGGTACTCCGAAATGCTGCTTTCCCATTATTTCTGAAACACTGACTATTTCTGATGACTGCAGTACGACTTTAGTGGTAATGATTTACATGAATTAGATAAACAAATGTTTGAAGAGTTCTCATGTAGCAATTTATTTTCCTGTGTACTCTCTGGTGTCCGCACACAGTGCATCATTCATTTAGAGATCTATAATTCTTAATCTCCCTTCTTTTATTATTCAAACAGAAACTGCAAGCTACAGTCCTGAAGAGCTGTGCTTAAGATACTGTATCTTCCAATATTTTAAATAGTCCGATCATCAAAACTTGCCATTTCCAAATTCTTAAATCATATTATAATGTATCAGTCATTAAAAAATCCATTTATTTTGCATTATCTTACCTGCTGTTATTCAGCACATTTTCTGTCAGATTCTTGGCAAACATACCCTTATGAACATCCCTCTCTTGCACAAAAAGGACGTAACAAAGGCGTCTTGCAAGCCACCCTCTGTACCTACACAAATATGAAGGGTATCCGAGTGTGACCTTCAAAATACTGCCAAAAAAAACTATTTCAAAAATGCCTAAAAATACAATTCAGAAGCAAAAGTAAATAAAGTTTTATGAAAGGCCGCCTACAAGCTTCTGTATCTTCTAGTAAATGGTCAAAAAGTTAACATTACAGATGAAATAACTGATTCGTAGCACAAAATACCTGAGACAATGAGGTCTGCATTACTTTGATTCAGGGTGATACTGGCCTTAAAACATCCACAGTATCAGAGGAAATTAGCTATAAACCAGTATATGCATTTTGTCTGTCTGCTGAAACCAATTCCCCAGCTCAGTGAGGAGGAAAGAAGATGTAGTGGCCATTTCTGATTCAGTGACTTTCCACTGAGGAAAGCAAATGCCCAGCTAAGAGATTTGTTAACTTCTTCAATAAACACTGACTTCTCTTGGGAAAGTTACTCACGTTGTACACTCAGGGTAAACTCTCACAGGCACTTTTGAAAATATGTTTGAATTAGCCACCAACACTAAAAACACTTCTTTGGTAATCTTTTCTTCCTTCCCAATGTTTTTAAACACTCAGCCCTATGTGACTCCTACGTACTTTCTCCTTGTAAAGTTTTAACAGAAGCGGAACCACTAAATAATCAATAAGTCTCTCTGCACAGTTAAGCTTTTAAGTAAGGCAACTTAGCTTATGTGGCCAGTCCCTTCCTTTTAAATTAACCCTGTCTTCTACTCTCTGGATCACATAAGTGACAATCACCTGTGAAAGTGCTATTTGAACAGTTTTCCTAACATCACAGAAGCAGCATATCACATGGGAAGAGATAAAACCCAGCCCTCAGCAGTGACTATTCATTACCATTTTCTCTCCTCATCACCCTCACTCACCAGGGCAGGACTGAACAAGCCTCTACGTCCCTCCACAAACCAAACAGAGCTGGGACCCCCAAACAGCAGAGCTGATGTGATGGGGCAGAACAAACAACTGGAAGAAGAAATCAAATTTTGGCCAATCCTAAGACCAGAGCACTCAGTGTTGTGCAGAAGCCCTGTCCTGAGGGCTGCCAGTACAATGCATCTCTGGAGCTCCAGTGTCCCAAACTGAATCGTGGGTGGCAAACTCATGTATGTTTCCACGCTGGAGTGCTGCCAAGGCATCACTCCTTGCCGGCGCCCAAGTTACTGATCTTGGCTGTTAAACCTCCCTACCACATTTCAGTAAGTTTATACATGTGCTAACAGCAGCTAGGGAAGACGAGAAGGAACTTTAACGCTGTAAAAGGCCAACCCACCTGAGCACACAGGCCCCTTGCACTATCATTAAGACGAGTGCATGTGCACAAGTCATCAGCTCAGTCTGACACGTAGTGGTTATACAAATATTCAGATCATCTTGAAGGACAAGGAATTTTGCTATTCATGCTGTCAGGGAAGTAGACTGGTGACTGTTTTATTTGCTTTTTTATTTTCCCCTTCTCACTGGAGTTTGAAAAAATCACAGAATCACAGAATCTTAGGAG